GTTAGAGTGCTGTACTGCAGGCCACTTCAGCTGACTGTTATCTGCAGTTCGGCAGTTCAAATCTCACTGGCACAGGGTTGACTCAGCCTTCCATCCTTCCGAGGTGGGTAAAATGAGGACCCAGACTGTGGGGGCGATATGCTGACTCTGTAAACCGCTTAGAGAGGGCTGAAAGCCCTATGAAGCGGTATATAAGTCTACTGCTATTGCTATATTGGGAGGCCTAGGTCAGAAAAGAAATTCTTCAACTTACAACAGTTCATTTAGAGACCGTTCGAAGTTGAAGTGACTTAGGACCGTTTCCCCACTTAACACCGATGCAGCATTCCCACAGTCACGTGATCAAAATTCAGAGGCGTGGCAACTGGCATTTACTTATGACAGGTGCGTCACGCGCTCCCCTTCTACAACCCTTTTGACCAGCCAAGGCAAAGGGGAAGCTTAGATTCCCCTTAACAACCACGTTCCTCACTTAACCACCACGGCGAGAATGGTCATTGAAAGGGAGCCAAGCTCACTTAACCATGGCCTCGCACAGCAACCAAAATTTTGCACGAAGTCGTGGTCGTTACCTCTAGCGGTAGACAAGAACTCACGCAGAGAAGCAACAGGCAGCCTCCTTTGGGGTGGGAAAAGAGGTTAAAAGGGGTGTGGGTGAGAAATAACGGATTTAATTATCCTCAACGACAGAGGCCGAACTTTGAAGGACATTCCTAAGGAGGTTGACCACCAAAGGCCACGAAAAATAAAGACACTTACGATCGAGGCCGTTCAAGTATCGCATCTGGATTTCGCAGTGGCCCCACACGGCGCTCACCACGGGGTAGAGCTTTTTCCCTTTCAGCCCCCGGAAGGCTACTCCCATGTACTGTCCGTCCACAATGAAGCTGAGAGTACCGTCGTCCATGTCCAGCACCACCAAGAACGAATCCGGCACGATGAAGGTCTCGTCCGTCTCCAGGAACGCCGGATAAGTCTTGCTAGCTTGGTTTTTCCCATCGTGGTAGAGCCGGTTGCGCCCCAGGTCCCAGCCCCAGGACTCGAGGTTGTTCCCGATGAGGGTGGTGTAGCCCACCGAGTGCAAGGGGGCCTCGGCCGTGGCCACGCCCACCACGGCGTGGGTCCCCCGCTGCCTCATGGCCCAGGTGATCTGCCAGATGTGTAGCCCACGAGTGTAGCCCACTTTGCCCCGGATGGCGTCGGTACTCTGGGCCACCGGATGCCGGTGAAAAGTCAACTTGTTGTCCTCCTTCACGAAGACGTTGAGCGAGCGGTCGTCGTTGTTCCACGAATGGAGCAGCTGGACGTCATAGGAGACAGCCGGCATGTCCAGCAGGAGGTCCAGCCGAGCCGGCTTGTTGTAATCCAGCCCTTGGAGTTCCTGTTTCAACGGCCGGCACACCGCATCCTGCATGTCCATCGTTTTGAACCCCCCTGTCACTTTTTGCCCCATGGTTCAAGGCCCGCCGCTCGGCGATGGGCATCCGGGGGGTCAGCTCGCTGCTCCGAGACCTCGCGCAGATGTCGCTGCGGGCGGTGGCGGTCAACAGCACCTAAGTGGGTGGAAAGAAAAACAAGGGGCAGAGTTAAACATGAAAATTGGTGGCTTTGCGAGGAGAGCGGTTCGGGGCGTGGCGGTATCTCTGGGGAGAGACGAGAAAGACAGACGTTTTCCCCACTACCAACCACCAGCAGCGATCCCGGGATGAAAAGGAGAAGACAACAGGCCTTAACAGAATGGAACATCTGGCCCTGACATCCATCGGAAGCCTCCAGGTGTTCCGAGGTGAATGCCTTTCAGGCCGGGTTCTAAAGTTTCACGCGCTGAACTAAGAGGCCCATCATCCCCTTCTTCCAGGAGGATAGAGAAGTATGGCTTTCAACTGCGGGGGGGGGGGGGGGAAGATCTACCCTCTCATGATTCCCACTTCCGCCTGGAGAGGATGGTTCGATCCAGTAGGGGGAAATCTTTTAGGTTCTGGAGAACCAGTAGCAGAAATTTTGAGTAGTTCGGAGAACCAGCAAATACCATCTCTGGCTGGCCCCGCCCGCCATCTATTGTCTGCCTCCCGAGTCCCAGCTGATCGGGAGGGAATAGGGATTTTGCAGTATCCTTTCCCTGCCATGCCCACCCAGCCACTCCCACCAAGCCACCCCACGCTCACCAAAGCGGTAGTAAAAAAAAANGTGAATCACCGCAGCGGCTAAGTTACGCCAACACAGTTAAGTGAATCTGACTTCCCCTGTAGATTTTGCTTGTCGCTAAAGGGGATCACATGACACACCTCTCACAACCCCCCGCTGGGGACGCGGCGACCCCTGTCTGAATTCGGTCCTTGCAGGAGGACGTGTCAAACGGCGAGCGTGCTGGTAAGAAGGGTACAAAAGCTGCCCTTATTTAATCTCAGCCTTGTCTCCGAGCTCTGGATTGTTTGCCCTGGATAAATATTGAATGTGCTTTCCGGGCCAAAGCAAACGAACCTTATCAGAATTGAAAGATCAGCTCACGTGTGAGCCAATATTGGCTTTTGGGAGCTGGCAAGGTGGCGAAATCTAATCAAGCCAGGCCAATCCGACACCACAACTCCCCAGTTTGATCACCGAAAGATGCTTTAACAGCCCGACCTATTCGTGATTGGGAAGAGTGCAGACCACACCTGGAAGGCTGCATCCCGTTTTGGTCACCATATTATAAAAAAGATGTGGAGACTCTGGAAAAAGTGCAGAGAAGAGCAACCAAGATGATTAGGGGACTGGAGACTAAAACATATGAAGAACGGTTGCAGGAACCGGGTGTGTCTAGTTAAGTGAAAAAGAAGGACTAGGGGAGACATGATAGCAGTCTTCCAATATCTCAGGGGCTGCCCCAAAGACGAGGGGGTCAACTTATTTTCCAAAGCACCAGAAGGCAGGAGAGAGAATGGATGGAAACTAACCAAGGAGAGAAGCAACCTAGAAATAAGGGGAAAATTCCTGACAATGAGAATTTAAGATTTTTGCAACTGCAAAAATCTCTGAATTATTTCTCCAGGAAATAATGTCCCTTTGCAGAAATGTCATAGGTAAAGACAAAGGTTCCCCTCGAACATATGTGCTAGTCATTCCTGACTCTAGGGGGCGGTGGCTCATCTCCGTTTCAAAGCCGAAGAGCCAGCGCTGTCCAGAGACGTCTCCGTGGTCCTGTGGCCGGCATGACTCAACTCCCGAAGGCGCACGGAACGCTGTTCCTTTCCCATCGAAGGTGGTTCCTATTTTTCTACTTGCGTTTTTTAACGTGCTTTCGAACTGCTAGGTTGGCAGAAGCTGGGGCAAGTCACGGGAGCTCCCTCCGTTACGCGGCGCTGGGGATTCGAACCGCCAAACTGCCGACCTCTCTGATCGACCAGCTCAGCGTCTTAGCCGCCTTAGCCCCTGAGAAATGTCAAAAGCAGCAGATAAATAAAAAGGGGGAAAAATATTGTGGGTCTTTAGAGCAGACGTTGCAAGCTTGCATAAAAGCATCACACACTTCCCTATACCCAGGCCAGTTAACACACAACAGTTGTTGGCAAGCTTAACACCTCCCCACATCCCCAGTCCGGTGTGTGTGTGTGTTGCCATGGTTTTGTACATAAACAGCCCACACGGCAAGGCTGAATTCTTCATTTTTGCTGGCTGTCCCGCATGTTTGGGTGTCTGGAAGGGAAGACCGATAAAACATTCGCTCTTCTCCACACACACACACACACACACACCACCCGAAATGATTTTTCTCGTGGCTTTCGACTTTGCCCCGAACGCAAAGCACATTCCACCCACTGTTGGGGACGAAAAGGACTATTATGGACCGCCAGGCGGCTGCTTCGTGAACCCCCTGCCCTACAAGTTCGCCAAGAGTCCCCCTCCCCCTTCCGAAGGATACCAGCTCTTGCAAATATCGAAGGAGGGGAAGGGGGGGGGGAAGAAAAAAGACCCTTCAGGAATTTTATTTTATTTTTTTTTAAAAATAGCGGTTGCATAGAAACCGAGCAAAATATTTCTCCGCAACCTGGAAGGGAGAGTTTGGAAGGAGAGAACCGGGCGCCTCTCGTTTTTCTTGCAAAAAAATATAATTCTATTTTTTTTAAAAAAAAAATCGTTTCTAATCCAGCTCACCCACTTCCTCATTTGGGGGAGCCGAAAACTGGGTTTGCTTCTTGCTTAATACGGATTGCAGAAGAAGCCGAGGTGAGCAAGTTCGCTTGGCCACCAACGGTTTCCATTTCGCAAGCCGCGATGAACAAGCCTTCTTTTGCCTGGAATCAGACAAACCAGGTTAGCGCTTGGCCAGGTGAAACCCTAGATTCCTTCGCTGGTTGGCCTGAACATCCTGACTTTGCCCCGTGAAGTACAGGTAATCCTCGACTTTACGACTGCACCCAAAATTTCTGCTGTTAAGAGAGACCTTTGGTTCAGTGAGTTTTGCCCCATTCTGCAACTTCCTCCCCCCTTTTTTTGGCCAGTTGTAAAGTGAATCACGGCAGGCGTTAAGTTACTGACACGGTTGTTAAGTGAATCAGGCTTCCCGGTTGACTTTGCTGGTCAGGAGGTCGCAAAAGAGGATCCCAGGGACGTGGCAACTGCCATAACTATGAATCACATGCCAAGAATTTTGATCACCTGAACATTGGGATACTGCAAGGGTCGTTAAGTGTGAAAAACGGTTGTAGGTCGTAACTCTGAATGGTCACTAAATGAACTGTGGTAAGTCAAGGACTACCCGCAGAAACAATCCAGTCTCAGCAATGGAACTGTCATCTTTAAACAAACTTCCATCCTTTCTTTTTTTCTTTTTCTTTCCTTCCTTCCTTCTTTCTCTCTCTTTCCTTCCTTCCTCTTTTTTTTTTCTTTCTTTCTTTCTTTCTTTCTTTTTCTTTCTTTCTTTCTTTCTTTCTTTCCCTTCCCTCTCTTTCCTTCCTTCCTCCTTCTCTTTCTTTCTTTCTCTCTCCC